ATTATCAGAACTTATTGTACTGGTATCTGGTTTCTGCCAATTGAGGAAACTTATTCAGAAAAACAATCTTTATTCTTCACCTGATATTTCACCTGTACACACTATGTTTGTGTTTTGGATCTTAAGGTCCCTCATCAGCAGGTTTACATTAACGAGGTGAGGTTTTTGATGGTTAATTACATTACGATTTAAATAAATCAATAGGAAAATTCTTATCATATTCAAACAATAAACATATCCTTTGCTTTTTAAAGAATATGTCCTAAGTCCTAATTAGGGTTTCTCATTTCCCGGTCTTTTGCTTGTCCTGGGATTCTGGGATAAAAGTGAACTGTTTCCCAGGATCCTGGGAAATCCTGGGACAAAATTAATTATTTTTAAGATATACAAAATATCATGAAATCAAATAATATAATTATTTTTTGTTTTTTAAAGTAATTTAATATGAACCTCCAAAATCATGTTAATAATGCTGTGTAAGATATATATTAAAAATTACCTTTGAATTATGTAGGAATTTTCACAAATAGAAAAAATTTATTAAAGTTTGCTGGAAACTGCATACTACAACAACAACAACAACAACAACAACAAAAATGCTTTGAATTAAGTTAAAATTTAAAAAAATGAACTTAGATCAAACTTCTAACTTAGAAGGTAATTTTCATTTTTTAAATAAAATATGATACAAAATATAAGATTTTATAAAGCAAAGATGGTCAATACTCCGATCACTCAATCTAATTCTTATTTTAGTAATGAAAAGTCTTGCTACCAAGAATGCCCTTTCTGATTCAATTGATGTGAGTGGAATCGTGTTTAATGCATTTAAGAGAAAACAAATATTATATGTTTTTTACCTGTATCCTGAAAGATTTCTAGTTCGTTTTTGAGAATGTAGTACTTCTTTTGTTCTCTAGTATTTTTGATTTGTATACCTCGACTGCTTTAATAGAAACATCATAGCCCAATAATTCGGCAGTTTGTTTGTCTTTAATAATCAGGTTATGAAGAAAACTTCTTACTTGCAGACTTCATACTTGTTTGTATCCTTGCCCAATTTGTACAACTTGGTGTTATGCAGTTATTGAAGCTACTGGGCATGGTTAAAAATTAAGACAGCATAAGCACAATTATTCCAGATATTACAAGTAAAGAATTTTGAGAGTCCTGCCACAAATAAACTACGTATTGATTATTGACCATTTGTGACATGCCATAATGAGCAAAAATTAAAAAAATCTAATAAGTAGGTTTAAAGTTAATAAATATAAATGTATTCTGACAGTTTATGAGATAATTATACTTTCTATTTGCAAAATTTCCTCAACCTCAACCTCAAATAAGAAAAAAGTGAATTTTTAAGAAATTTGCGGGATTTTCTGGAATAAGAAAAATTTCCTGGGTTAAAAAACAACCGGGATCCCGTTTGAGAAACCATAGTCCTAATAATACAATATGTCTTAGTAGGCATTTATATAATAAATCATCTGTAACAAATTCCCGCAAGAAAAAATGTAAATAAGTTAGATCCACGGAATTAGGTGGTCATGCTGTCAGTGCACCCAAACAGTTCATGTCCTGGGCCCTTAGTCTCAAGTTTTTTGTGTTAAAACTCCCAACATGTTGAAGGTGTCATGTGGTACCATCTCACACTCTGACATCAAATTGATAGTCTCGAGTTATAACTCGCGTGTTTTCCCATCTCACCATGTGAGTTCCTACTTACTTTGAGTCAAGCATGTGAGATCTCTACACGAAAGTGAAACACTTTCGTGTAGAGATCTCACATGGCTGACAGATGTGCTATTCTGATCGCAATCGAAGCATTAGAAAGAGCTGAAAGACGCTGTTTAAGAAGACAACAAATTTTTCGACCACGGATAGATGCCATTTCTTTTCATGTCAGGTCAACACTAATAAAAAAAAATTGAATTCATAATTCATAAAATTATACAGCAAATTTTTCCAAAAATAAAAAGAAGTACCTAATTCATCAAAAAAGAGAATTAAAATGATGATAAATTATATGTATAAATTATTAAGAGCATAGACACTATATTAAGATTATTTATTAATAAGAAGTGTTAAGTTCTGTTAAATAATCTTAATGGACAAAACGATTTAAGAAATAGATCAAGGAAGAAAACTATATGAAGAAGGATTAAATTAAAATACATTTTCCATTACATAACGGATTTTTTAGCTCCAACACACACAATTAATTTTTCAACTAATTCTCTCCACAAAGCAAATTGTCTTTTCCTTGTAAATTTGTTGTTGAATTTTTCATTGTTCATTTTCTTATTATTTTTTATATACAGTGATACCTCGACTTACGCTACCCCGACTTACGCGAACCCAGAGTTATGCGTTTTTCAAATCTTGTCGATTTATCTTTTGTTTGAGCACCAGGCAACTCTTGATTACTCATTCCCTCCACACTATTGTTCAGCTTACATGTTCGGACGTGTCGCGCGGAATCAACACATAGCTACAATTTATTTTGTGTTATTTATTTCTGTGTTTGTTATATCTACGGAGACTCGAGAGACTCTATGTGGTGATTTCTTGTAACAATGAACGAATCAAAAGACGAGATAAGATTAACGAGAACATTTATTAGCTTACATACATCCGACTTGGATTTTACACAAATTGCGAAATTATACCCAGACTTACGCGAATTCGACTTACGCGGTTATTGCTCGGTCCCACCTATCGTGTAAGTTCGGGGTATTACTGTATGTTACTAATATTTCTTTTTGTTCTTTTCACTTGTTTTTTAAAATAAAACATTGAGGGTTTCCATTTTGTTTCTGCGTACTATATTCCTATAAGACAAAACTTTTAACTGTAACACATGTAAATTAATTCACGTTGATTTGTTTACAACTTGTTACACTCAAGTTGATTGGTCGAATCATTACAGTCACAAACCCAGATGCATTGTAAATAATTCCATCATGCTTAACAACATATGTAACCAAGTGAGTATGACGTATTTCCGCTTTGAGTTTGCTTGATGGGCAGTAGCATAGCGTAAAGGCAGGGGCAGCCTGCCCCAGGCGGCACTTTTAGGGGGCGGCAAAATTTCACAATAAATAATAATAATATCTTGTAAAAATTTGAACCATTTCATTTCATATTTTTGTTGCACCTATGATTCGGACTGATTGAAATGAGCACAGAATTTTTCATTACTTACTCTGTGACGAAACTGAATTTTAGTCTTTTAAATTGAGATACCTAAATATGAGGGCAGCGAAATTTTCTTCCACCCCGGCAGCTGACATTCATGCTATGCCACTGTTGATGGGTCTGACTCAAATTTTGTGAGATGATAAAATTTTGGGGGATATTTTAATATTTAGCATCAATTCTAGTAAAGAATATAAAAATGAAAAATATTTTAAAAATTACCATCGTAGTAACATAAGTGAGTTTGATGACGTCAATTTGAGTACAACACAAAATACTTGAGACTAAGGTCCTGGGAATCACATTAATCATACTGCAGTGGGAGTTTTTGGTGCAAGATTTTATGTAAATAAAACTTGATGTGTATGACTAAATTTGTGAATTTTAAAAATATTGTTCACATCCCTTTTAATAAATTTTTATTGTTCTACAAAGTTTTAAAGACAATTTTTGAAACACACTGTGTTTATTGCAAGTAAAGTAAGTTACACATTATTGTCTTCTATGTTATTGAAGTAAGAAACTTCTCCACTTGCCATTTTACGCTCTTCTGAATCAATACTAATGATGTTTTAGTTATGTTCCTTAGTATTATTTTTAATTTTAGTCTTACTAAACTAAAACTATGCTAATCAACATTGGATTCAATGTCACAAGCAATCATAATGTTGTTTAAAGCATCATAAATGAAACATTTTTTTAAAAGAGTGCTGCTCCACTTTTTCTTGGATTTCCATCCAAGTACAGTACTTATGACATTACTGTAATAGACTAACAAGATTGAGCTAAATTGACCGCTTAAATATTTTCTATTACGAATTAAAATGATGTCAAAGAATTAGTGACAGAGAGATATGTGGCATTAGAGGTCGCTAATTGTGACCTGTTATGGCATACTGCATCGAAACTAAGATGCCCTGTATTTTCAGAAATACTAAAACTTGAAAAAAGTGCATTTACATTTGAGTTAATACAATATTTTTTCACTGATGCAAAACATGTGACAGTTGAGATATACTGCTTTAAAGTTGAATGTTTTCTGCTATTGGTTGCAAACCACCAACTTTAAAGAAGTGTCTCTCAACTTGGAATAAAATTTATTAATTGGAATAAGAACCACCAGAATCTACAAACTTTTGTTAACAAGAAACACATCTATTGATATTTATTTTGATAACATAGAATTCTGGAGTCCTAGAATCTATGAATTCCTCAAAACTGTTTTGGTCTGTTGCTTGGTTTTTGAAAGCCACCTCTGTCAGGAAGTAAAGATGTTTGAGAAAATGGTTGTCTGTCAGAGAGCAATCTGGTGAGTAAGATGGGCTGGGTGAAGTAGTTTCATATCTCAGTTTGTTTAATTTTTACAGTTATTTGTAAAATGTAATCAAGCATTGTTTGGAGAAGAATTGGTCTTTCAAATGACTAATGTTATTGTAGTTTTTGGTGCATTTTGTCAATTTTCTGGCAATACTACTATGCTATGATGATTGCACTTGAATTCAAGAAATTATAGTGGATGATTCCTCTTGCTGACCACCAAACAGTGATCATAACTTTCTTTTGATGCAGCTTTGGTTTGGAGAAGTGTTTTGATCCTTTATCTTTGTCCAGTTACTGCACAGTTTTGTATTTTTTCAGTGGGAAAAATTAATTATTGTTTCAAAACTTTATGATGCTTATTTATGCCCCCTTCTGTTGATGTGGATGAAATATGAAGGGGGTTAATGTTGTCCCAACAAATTAATGACTGGTTGGTACACTCCTCCATGTTTGGTTTTTCTTTAAATAATATTTAATGCAATTTCCTGTTCTATTTAAGTCTTAGTTCAGGAACCCGAATGATGTGAATAGAGGTATGATACACATGCAAGATAGGCTGAAAATTTGGACGAGAGTGGATTGAACTGTGTGCACAGTTTACCCGAGCAGAGGCCCACCACCATAATGCCTTAGATTTGGTACACTAATCAGAATTAAAATTAGTGAGAATAAAATTCTTGTCTGTTAAATTATTAGAAATTGATTGAAAATCTACTAATGTGAGGTAGATAATAAGGACTTATCACACCAGTTATAATAAGCACAAACACCCAGGTATCAATGGAGTACATTTAATAAAACCGAGAAGGGGTGTACTGTACATTAAAATCGATTACGTTAGTAATTAACATGAAATAACCAAAATGCATTTTGGACTATTGGAATAGTCCCTCTTCAGTTGGTATACATATAAAAAGGTTATAATTCTTAAAATTTATTATACAAGACAAAGGGTGTTTGTGCTTATTATAACTGGTGTGATAAGTCCTTATTATTTACCTCAAAAATCACTTTTTGCCCTTGGTATAATTAAATTAATTAAAATTTAATTATACCAAGGGCAAAAAGTGATTTTTTTATATGGATTTAGTTTTTATTAAAAATTGGTTTAAATTAAGAATGATAATTTCGTAACTTGACAATTATTTTACAAATGTTTGTGCGCTAATTCAAAAAATAGCGGTTTATGATTTATAGACATGATAATTTGTCTTCAAATACAATAAATTATAATGTTTTTAAATAGTTTTAAACATTATTGTAATATAGGGAAAACAGTAAAGTTATTGGCCACTTAGGAAATTTTTATTTAAAAAAATCTGTGATAGAGAGATTAAATCAGGAAATGTTATACTTACTGATGAATTCATTTTTTATAGTCTTTCTACTGCCAACTTCCAGAAATTACAAACTCCAACTGCTTAATCCAAAATATCCTTGTTTTACAAAATTGAATAATAATTTGCCATACACAACAACAGAAAAACGTGAGATATTTTGCTACCTACTGACAGCAGAAATTTGTATTAATACTATCATGCAATATTTCTAGAACAGCTTTTATAGAACTCTTATTAAAGAAGTTTAAATTTGAAATGACTGATTACTGTTTACAATAAAGTTTATCTTAATTAATTATTATATAATATAGCTCAGGAATGTTGATCAAAAACATTTAAAATGAAACTGTATTGAGGAAGGTTGTAATGTGGCAGTTTAAATTACTAGAAGTTCAGTTAAGTTTATTCATTCACATGTTTGTGGGATTATTTTGAACACATTCAATTATCTCATTTCTTGTTTAATAGCTTTCTTACTTTCTTGACAGTTTCCTAAGTTGCTTCCTAGAAAATAATTAGTATACAATTTAAATGAATTGTTTTAATGCAGTGTTTCTCAACCTCTAACGAATCGTCGCCCCCTTCACTTCAAAATTCCAATGCCGTGGGCCAGGGCTAACGCCAAATTCGTACTGCATTGAATAGACTAGTGACAAGTATAATGTTATTTGTTTAATTATTGTACGATATAACGAATAAAATATTTAATTAATCTTAATATAATGTTTTACTATATTGCCCAGAAAATTGTTTTTTGCCCCCCAAAATATAAATTGTTACAAATCGCCCCCTCAACATGGAAAAATGCCCACATGGGGGTGATATCACCCCCGTTGAGAAACACTGTTTTAATGTTTCCTATTTGTACTGTAAGGATCAGGAAATGATTTTTTAAAAATAATTTGTAAACATTTTACTTTTTGTAAGACTTCACCATTTGTTTTTAATAAAAAAGTTTTGTGAAATCTATTAATCCTAAGGTTGCAAATTTTGAAGGGAAGTTAACCATTTGATAAAATTGAAAAAACTTCCTACAGAAGTGACACATTTTCTCAATCTATTAGTCATTACTTAAACCAGGAATTATTGTCCAAATATCTTCTGATAAGACAATTTTGCTGTGGGATACCACAGTTTTGGAATGGTCTGCTTTTCTCTGAAAACCAGAAAGAAAATGTATCACTCAGATATAGTGTCATTCATAACCACCCATCAACTATTACAGTACAACCCAACCAGATGCCTGCAGTGTAGGAACTTATTGGGTATGAGAAATTATAGAAAGGAATCATAATAATTGAGATATAATTCCTTCACATTAAACTATAATCTGTAAATTCTCTCTCTACAGAGCATGTAAAATGCAAATGCATGCTGTAAAGTTTATCAAGCATTGTAATATTTTGAGTTTGTATCATTAATAAATATTTTAAGCTTAAAGTACAATGTTGGGCAACTTACTTCCAACTGATCTTATGACTCTATCTGCTTATCTCTAGTCTCACATAGAGGCAATGCATTCAAGTTGTAAATGCAAGTTATGTGGTGTCAGAACAACTTGATATAATTATTAAGTCAGGAACCTCCCATCTGATGTCAGAAGAGTCGTCCAGACCTCACAACTGGTGATTTCAAACTTCACTATAGAAATAAAGTTTGTTTTCACGTAGTAAAGCCACGTCTCTGTCTTTCTTTAAAATAAGTCACTTTATATTCACATCAGATCCACAATGGAACTGTAAATACTTTTAGTATGTATTTGAATAGTATGCAGGATGATCCTAAAATCTGTGTGTAGTTTTATATGTTAATAACTAAAGATGTACAAATGTTAAATTAAAATTAAAGTCAAGTGTACAGTACCTTCTAATAATAGCTGATTTTAATTCATAGTTTACTTCCCTTTTGACTGCACTGTTTCGGGTTACTAACAGAAGCTATAAATTAAGTTAAATTATTAAATAAAAATCCCTAAAAGTTAGGCTCAAATTTAATTTACTGCATAGATTTAACATATTTATGTCTACGTATTAAAGTATGAAACTGTACACAGACTTTGGGGTCTCCCCAAATAAATTACATTAGCATTTCTTCAAGTTTCTTTCTAGGAAATTATGTTTAGTTTGAATTTAAAATAAAAAGAAAAGAAGGGATGCTCACTTCAAGTTGTTAAAGTAATATTAAAATAGTCTGAAAACTTTCATGTCTTTTAACAAAAATAATAAAGTTTTAAACTAGTTTTATTATTCTGTGGTTAATTTAGTTAAAATATAAATACATTTTTTTAGGAAGTAGACGAACTGGAGGATTTAGATATTGCAGAAGAGGAGGCTCTCTTACAGATTAGTGAAGAAGAAGCTTTAGATGATGATAATGGTATGAATTCATTATATCTCTATTCTAATGCTATCTGAAAGTACTAGTAGCCCAGGACGCCCCCTAGTGGGCGTTCTTTACAAATTTCCATGAGGCACGGTTCCTTTGACTTTTTTGTTCCTATCAATATGCTGTACAGCTCTGTTAAAGTCCCAATGGTAAGATTTACCCTCCGAATGAAGAGGTGGCGACCCCCCCCAAACTGTAGCCCCTGTGCGAACAATAAAGTCAAAGGAACCATACCCCTACTCGCGATCCTTTGCGAGATATAAGCCCCTGAAATAATAAATTCCTATTACAAATATACTGAATTATTTATATTGTTATATTGACCAAATAATAATTTATGGGCCAAATGAATAATAATAATTCATATTGTTAATTTAAATAAGAATTAAAATTGTTAATTTGAATGTTTGAAATATGACACACGATAGAAGTGCCTCTAGTGTCTGTTATCAAACAGTTACGGGACAGACGGACACTTTGAATGGGTTATATATATAGAATTTGTTTCACTAAGAAAATCTAATAGGTAAAAAAAAAATAGGCAGCTTAATTAAATTTCAAAATTGCAATATAATTAAATTGGTAGCTTAAAAGTATGCTAATATTACTAATTAAGTATTAAAACCAGATTCTTCTCGGGCTGCTAAGAGACTAATTAATTAATTAACAAGTAACTGGAATGGTTATATCTAAATCAATTGGTCTGGAAGCAATGATTAGACAGAGGTCCAAGTAGTTTAACTAGCACTGCCTCTGTGTGGTAACCAGGAGCTGCAGTTTTGAAATATATTTTCCAGAATTAATCTTATTTCTTCTTAAATATAATTTATTAGGCTGCAGTTTGAAAAATTGTAGACCTATAAATTCTCATTATCTGTCTCTCTGTCTTTCTTTAACATCAAGAATGAAGTTAGGTAGATGAAAGCCAAGATCAGATGTGGAAAGTGTAGGTACAGGAGGACCCAATTAACTGTATACAAACTTTCAGTGCAAATTGGAAGTCATGTTGTTTCAATTAAAAAATTTTTCCCTGAAAGGAGTTTGATAGATGACTGGCACAACTCTGTTGCTAACAGGAAAAGTATGATGTACAGGGGCAAGATATTACTAATTTCAGATAGAGAGCATATATTTTAAATGAAATAAATTAAAAATATGATTGAAAATTGCAGCTCAACATTGTGACAATGCCATAATAAATAATTGCTTGTTTATTCTAATTATTAAATCTGCAGTTTAACTATCTATTTCTAGTTTAAATTGCATAATATCTGGTTAGTCAGCCTCATAGTAGCCCAGTAAGAATCTAGTCTAATGTTTGATTAGTAATATTTATTGGGTTGTTTGTATATTTCAACACATGCTAACATTGGAATATTTTAATTATTATTGCAACAAATTGTTAATTTTTGGGTATAAAACTGTAATTCTTAAATTAATGAGTTTCATTTTAAATTTTCAAATTAAAATCATTCTTATGAAACTTCCTGTGAATAGTGTATCAAAATTTTATGCTCTGATGTCGTGAAAAAGTGAAAGTAGTGAATGTTCAACAATCTGCAACTAAAGCAATTAATTCATTAAGTCGTAACATTTTTAATTCTTTGAATACAACAGCTTTTATTATTGAATATGTAATTACTCTCTTGATATAAAAGAGATAGTAGAATTCTTAAATGTGCATATAGGTCACTTAAAGAAGGAATTTGTAAAAATACTGTATTTAGATGAAAAGAATATGCATAAATAAATCAGAAGCATAGAGCAGCATGCATTGGTACAAAATGCATAGCAATATCTGCAAAATTTGGATCACATATAAGTGATGAAATTTTGCTAGCATGCAAGTACAAAAATGTTCAGTAATCTCTCCCTCTCACCATCCCTGATCTAGGGATCAGGGATGGTGAATCTATGGCACTTGTGCCAAAAATGGCGCATCAGGAGAAATCATCTGACACATAATGGATCATGTAATCTGTCTTTTTTAAGTGTCCTTTAAAGTTTATCAACCAATTTTCCTTTCTTTTTTAATCAACTTCTTTACATTTATTTTAGTTAAAGCACATTCATTTCAATTCTTTAAAAATATCATTATTTAAGTCTAAAACTTCAACATGTATAAAAAGGTTTGCCATCCCCATCCTAGATTAATGAATTTCTAATATATTTATAAACCAATTAATATTTTCTAGGAAGTAATTTAACAGTTAACCTGTTTAGAAAAATGTATCTTCAATAAAGTTTTATTTATATAAAAACATTAAGAAACTGAGCAAACATTAAAAGTAATGAAATATTATTGAATTTTTATTTAAAAAGGAAGAGAATGAAAGGTATATTTACATGATATTTAGGATTAAAAATTATTCTAACAATAATAAATAGTAAACTTTTACATAAAAATAGAGTATAGAAATTTATTACAAATTTTTTTATTGAAAGATGTATAATAAAGACAGTCCTAAGTATGTTACTATAGCAGAAATATCCAGCACAAACTAAAAATAATAAAGCAAACATTTTCAATGGTTTTTTATTGGGTTAAAGGCCGTCAAACAACCAGATGTTTGACAGTTTGTGCTGGATATTTTTGGTATAGTGACGTGCTTAGGACTTAATTAAATCCAGTTTTTCATGTGTTATGTAGTTATCTTTATAATAAAGACAAGTTATGTAGTACATTAACTGATTAACTGTTTAAAATTTAATCATTTTAGATTTCTGTTTTAATAAATTGTATCAATATGTTTAATGACACTTATTTGGATTAATCAATATAATTTATTGACCTATTTGTTATCTGTGCTTCATATACAAATAAATATTCTCTTCATTTGAAATATTAATTTGAGCATTTGCTGAAATAGAGAATTTATTTATTTATTTATCTTTTTACAAAAGGCTGCACTGTATTGCTTTCAAATGAATATTTATCTTGATGATCTAAATTTAATTTTTTAATTGATATTTGTATAAAAAGTTTGAATAAGTTGTTCCAAAGTTAAGAATCATTTTCATAAATATTGCAGATATTCAGTTTGTTGATGAGGAAGGCAATCCTCTTGAAGTGAGAGATGGAGATATGGAACTCTATGAAATTCATCAGTATGACAATCATACTTATACAAAGTAAGTTATTATATATTCATAAATAATTTTTAAAATTATATATACAGGGTGCATAGTAAGGTCCTTATACTCCCATGCAACTGAGAAATGCAGATAACTACAGTTATGAACAGTTTGATGTAAAGTTGTAGTAAAGTGACTTTTTTGCTGTGAGACGAGATTACCTCACCTCTAGTGGTAAAATTTGGAAGTTATCACTCCTATCTTGAAAATGATGTACAACACGGAAAAAAATGTCAAATATATTTTAGTTCATGACTGATTTAGTATGAAAGGACATCCTACATATTCAATTAACATGAAATAGAAAATAGAATGCTAATGTGCAAATTTCACACAAATGGTAAAATGTATATTTCTCGTGTGTTCATTTATGTGCTCTCGTTCATTTCTCAAGTGTTTACTGGTAATGTGTACTTTTCATTTTCCTGTGTCTTCTTGCCATATTCATTACTGTGTGTGTATATTGTCATTCATTCATGCATGTCAGTGTATAAAGACTTTACTATGCATTTTGTACATTTGAAAAACATTTCTTTGTACTGGGTAATCAGACATAAATAAGAACTTGCGTGAAATAGTACAAGGAATTAGGTGACATTGCAACTCAGACTTGGCAATGTTATGTGGTATGTTGCATTGTCAACTTATGATGTTTCCAAACTCTTTGTGCTACTTTATACAAGTGAAACTCACAAGAAATAGCATCAAGAGTCTGGATCTCTGTATGTCTATATCCTATATATTAACCAAAAACTATTTTATAGTAGGAATAAAATATTCAAATTAAGAACTTTGTAATTAAATAGAATTCAGTGCTAGAATGAAACCAAATAACTGATAATCAATAAACAAACATTGCTAAACCCGATATCTTATAAAGCTAGATACCAACCAATGCCGAATTCTATCAGGCTAGACACAGCTATATTACTAAATAAATTGCTTCCCTCTAGTGCCAAACTGGTTGCATAATTTATTTAATAATGTAGCTGTGTCTAGCCCGATAGAATTCGGCATTGGTTGGTGTCTAGCTTGATAATCAATATATTAAATGATTTAGAAAATTTCATAATATTTAAAGTTGCATTTGTTTTTTTTTTTTTTTCTGTAATTTAAATTACATTGCTTTAATTTGAAAAATAAATTTTATTTCTTAGTAATGGTATCTACAGAAATATGAGAGCGAATAATAATAAACACATCTATAAAAATACTATATTAGTATTATTAAAGGAACATGTATCAAGGAATTATAGTAGACCCCCTATAACGCTTAGATACATTCCACTTTATAAGAATTTTACGTTGTAGGAATCCTTAAATACATGAGCCAATCACAGCCCGACACGTGTGAAGTTTATGGACTAAGGCTGTTTGAAAGGTTTTCTTCTATAAAATTAACCGATTCTAGACTAATTCAACTCAACATTTCCAAAATATGTATAATTTTTTGGGAATAATTCATATAAACTATGCTATAAACAAAAAATTGTAGGATTACTTACCGAGTGTGCACCGTTCGACTACGCCGTTGCTTATGCTTGTTTTCGTTGTGGAGCAGCGCACCAGATGGCATCTGCGTTTTCTGATAAATTATTTTTCTGCGAAAAATTCGTGACCTTTGGAGACATTATTAATAGAAATAATTTTTATGGCCGTTGAATAAGAAATGTTTCTTTCACAAGAAATGTATAAAATTA